TTGGAGGGAACTCTAAACTGGGGCCAAGGGTTGGAGTGTGGGAGGGGGTTCAAGGTCCTATCAGCATTTACCCTAAGTCCCAGGAAGTGGCTGCCACTTATCTGATAAGCTGAGCAGATAGCTTTAGCGGTTCCTCATCGCTAAAGCCACATTGGACAGGCATTGGCCACACTGGTGATGTATGTGAATGTCTCAATGAACTTTTCAGTTGAAAAAGACCTTTCGACCATGGCCGGAGCATAGAGAAAAGGCAGAATTAAGCCAGATGACTTGATGTTAGACTCTCAAGAATATAGATTCAGCATGTGAATAATTCTATGCAGACAAATGCCCCTTCTCCTACAGCTGTTCTGAGTTATACACAGCACACAGTTTGGAACATAACCAACTGTCAAAAATATTCAGGAAACATATTTGCAGAGATTTGAGAGCTGATACTGTATTGTCAGGAACCTAAGAAAACAGACATCTTTATGTCGCCTGGCCTTATCTTACTCTTTTTTTTGCTGAGGTTCATGTGCACCTAGCTCTTCAACCTCTTTCCAAAACTAATCTAAAGTTTGCCAAGTTTGGGGAATTTGCTCTACTGTCTCACCAATCCACTGAATAGAAAATCCAATATCATACATCGAGATCTGAAGAATATCAGACAGCACTTCAGATATGTTGCTGTAGAGGCAAGGGAGAAACACAAGTGAAAAGCATCAAGTGTGATGAGAAAACCAGTAGCTGAGGAGAAAGACTAAGCGTCCCAATTTGCTGGATATTGCACCACACTTTTGAAGAGTTTGATCAGAGCTTCTTTGCTGTGCTTAACAGTTTTTCCAAGCCTTGAATGAAAATTCCCCCTTGTGGTACAAAGAGAAGGCATTGAATGTGTTTAGAAGTTCAGCTTGTTTTGAAGATAGAAAAACACAGGGATTCCTTCTAAATGTGGAGAAAGTGCAACATTTTCAGATGCCATTTGCTGCAAAACTGAGGACGAGTTTTAAAACATGAGTGTAGCAAAGAACAAAAAGTGCTAGGGGAACTTTCTACTAACACATTTCTGAAGCCAGATTAAATGAATATCTGAGATTTTGTCAAGCAAAATAGCAATGAACTGTGCTTCCTCAGTAACGTTGGCAATGGAATTAAGTTGGACATTCATTACTTACTGCTTCAGTGAAGTCATTCTGAATTCTGTTCTCGGTGCGAGAAAAAAAGGTAGAGGTTTCCAAATGCTGCCAAATAAAGGATCAAACCCACTAATTAATTCTAAGGTAACTACAGAATTGCTCCATTGCAGGGAATCATCTGACTTGTGAATGCTCATAAAAAGCCAGCTCTCATTCTTTAATATGTTATGCCATATGAATTAGCCCTTGCAAAATGGTCTGATTCTGACAATCATTTCCATTGTGTTGTCTCACAGTGATTCTCCTTTGCTTATCTAACTGAAGATCAGTACGAGTTTGCTCAGACGTTTGCAACTGTAAACAGGCTGCTAGGTGATGCCGAGTAGTTTTGTGATATCTGCAGGCATTGTTTGGGTTGTTTAGGTCATTGCATCCTCTCTTTTTTCACACATTCTTTTAATTAACAAAAAGTAGAGGAGGCCAGAAGTATAGCTTGTTTGTTTACTCACACCCATAGATCCATTCACATGTGTACACTATTTCCCTGAAAAAACATTTGCAGCTCATTTCCTGCTTTTTTATAAAGACTCACTTCTTGCTTTTTGGGTTTTGGCTTTCTATTTCTTATAATTTCTGGGGTTCTTTTGAATAGACTCTGACACTAAATAAATGACAAATTTTTCCCTAAACTTTCTATCCTGGTGAAAATTTCACACCCCTTATTTTGTGCTACCACAAACAATGTAATTGTACACTTGAATGCCTTGAGTATTCAAGTCTA